TTGGTGGCTTTGTATATAAATATAGTTTGTAGGTAAGTGGACCGGATTAACAGTCGATACCAAAAGACCACAAAGCAAGTTATCGGCGCACTGATTGGATAACTTTGTCATGGAAACTTTGATCTTTAACTGAAGTTTACGGAGTTGATGCCTAATTCATATTAGAATTAGTTAAGGATTACCTACGCATCACCAAAACATTGTACGTAGTGGAACAACAGCAATCAACTATAGGTAATCTGAGAGTATGGAAAACTAAATAGGAATAAATTAATAATTCATTTAGTATCTAAATGTAGACAGTAATCATTAGTTCCAATTATCTTTAATTCGTTTGTAATCGATGAATAAATAATTACTGCTGGATCAATAAGAAATTCGTCAAATGATGATTGCAGATTAATTCTTGTGCATGTGAGTCATCAAGCTCGCTAGATGGAAAATGGTAACTGTTTTTAGAAATATTAAAACTATCATGGAAGTCTGTGACACAATTAATTGATTACCGTTCCTGAGAACTAAGAAACTTCATGTCTAATACAACAATTCGTGTCCTTAAAATAATCATTTTTTGTGGAGGGAATGGAATTGTTAGTAACAGAATGTCAGTAATAACAGATCCATTACTAGCAATATACCCTATCAGGTCGACCTCCATGCGAATCCCTCTGGAAACCAGCTTGGTTATTTATAAATGAATTAGTCACAAAGGACCATAGGGAGGAAAGGGATTGTTAGTAATGGAGACTAAAAATCCCATTGCTAACAATATACCCAACTAGGTCGACCTCCTCGTAGTTCCCCCTGGAAACTATCATGCTTAATTCTTAATAAATTCATCATGATGTGCTAACTGGCCTGTTTTCATTCTCATCGATCACCCTTCACTGGTGCTCAACCAGCGTATCCCATTAACGCAGGCGGGGTTACCATTCAATTTTCATCCACCAAAAAAAAAGTCACAAAGGACCAACTGACCTGCTTCATCCTCACCTATCGCCCTCACTGTTGCCCCGCTAGTGTATATCATAATGCAAGTGGAATTACTATTTAATTTTCACCTATTAAAAAACAAGCCTTTCAACATATTAAAAAGTATTTTAACTAGGGGGAAGGGATTCTTAGTAATGAGATCTAACACGCTAATTACTAACAATATAACCTAACAGATCGACCTCAACGCGGTTCCCCCTGAAAACCATCGTGGTTAATTGTAGATAAATTCATCACGATGGGCCAACTGACCTGCTTCATTCTCACTTATGTGTATACTCAGCGTATACCGGTATACAGGAATATGAATATATCAACTAAACAGAATCCAAGCTACATACAAATAGCTCGATGCATAGCGCTCTCTACCGTGTCACGGCTGAGTTACTGAGAAGCAAACGTAAACACTTACCGCGGCAAAGCATACATGATTCCTCTCTATATAGAAGGTGACGCCAACCGACACGATTTACAGCACTTTTATACACCTTGTGCTCTGTGGGGATATTTATTCATATGCTTTCAGCCTAGAACACAAGAAATGTACACCTCTCGGCTAAGATTTGAATAACGTCATATGTATCCCACAATATAATGTTCATTGTGATAGGAATGGGTAATATATACGTACCAATATCTATATATTTTTTAAATGGGTGATAATGGAATAGTAGCCCCGCCCTTGCTATCGATATACACCGGCGGGGCACCAGTGAGAGATGATAGGTGAGGATGAAGCAGGTCTGTTAGTCCATCGTAACGAATTCAACAAGAATTAATCACGATGGTTTCCAGGGGGAACCACGTGGAGGTCGACCTGATAGGGTGTATTGCTAGCAATGGGTGCATTAGACCCCATTACTAACAATCCCTTTCCCCCCAATATATTAGCCCAATAATTAATGTATTTAATTTCGTATATTTAATACGCAATATTGAAATGGTAAACTAGATCGAAATTATATATATAGTACAACCATTAAGCGTAAAAAAGTTCAGAAATACAAGTGGTGTACAAGTATCTACTTAAACGATTCTGTATAAAATTCCCTTCTGATTGTGTACTTATGTTTTTGTATTTCTGTGACGTATGTTGTTTCGCTCTACGGTATAGGTCCTGGCATAAAATAGGCCACCCCTTCCTTTCTCGTGGGTGACTAAGGAAGGATGAGGAATGAGCAGCAGCGTCCCTTTTAAAACCTCTCTAAAGCCTAACTGTGGTTGTCAACCCGCCTGCCAAGCGTGGCGACTACTGTCAAAACCCCCAAGAGGGAGTCTTATGTTCAGTAGTGGACTGTTAAAGGCTGATATGATGATGATGATGATGATAATGATGATAATGTTTCGCTTAGTACTTAGATGTGTCTGTTCCATATTCATCCTATGAGATTGTTATTTTTATAATATATTTTTAATTCTTATACACAACCGACTACCAGAATTACTTGTTACTACTATTTATTACTAAATGACTTGTTCTATCTCTGCCAGGAGAAATCTTTATAGTTGACGGAGACTAGCCGCCCTATTGTCACCAATAAACGAATATATCATCAGGTCGACAACCACGCCATCTTTCTCGTTGTTAATTACTGATAAAATAATTAGCAACACCACGCCGGCATACACAGACCAACAGTGCATGCCGGCTGCAAATCCAGCGACCCGGAGGTTATCGCCTCCGGAGTAGAAGCCGGGGTAATGGGGTACGCCCCGAGGCCCCTACCTCGCCCGCCCACACATCATCTGGCGGGCAAAGAGAAAAGAAAAAAATAAATACGACGAGCCATTTGACCTGAATTCAAGCTCTAATGGATGAAATTGTAATAAAATCACCACCTACACTATTTGTTTTTACTGGCGAAGTATCAGTAAGGGATAATAAGTAAAGATGAAAATAGGTCAGTTGACCTATCGTGATCAGAAATTAACCTAATGGTTTCCAGGAAGAACAGCAAAGGACCACGTGGAGGTCGACCTAACTAACTGTATATTATCAGTAAAGTCATTAGACCCCCCTTATACTTCCCTTACCCTTCTCATCTCTTGTTCATATTATTCCATACTAGCTTTTTCCCGCGATTCGTCCTCGTAATCGGGATATATTAAAAAACCGATTCGTTAAACAATTAAGACGCTGCGAGATAATAAACAAACAAACTCACTTTCACATTTATAATAATCTTAGTCAGGATTTTTTTTATGGGTGAAAATGGAATGGTAACCCCGCCTGGGCTAACGGGATACGCTGGCGGAGCACCAGTGAAGGGTGATAGATGTGAATGGAAATAGGCCAGTTAGCCCATCATGATGAATTCATCAGGAAATAACCATGATTGTTTCCAGGGGGAACCGCGAGGAGGTCGACCTGGTTGGGTATATAGCTAGCAATGGGATTCTCAGTCTCCATCACTAACAATCCCTTTCCCCCTATTAGTCAGGATTAGGTACTTGTATTATCATTAAGTCATTTCCAAGTTCAATGTGTAAATCATACTATTATGGTTTACATAAATAAATACACACATTACTTTTATTAGGAAATCATTAGATTGAATAAAATTGTACTTCAAAGATTTCTGTTTTCCTAGAACAACTGCAAACGTTCCTTTGTTAAGTACCTCATTATTTTATTTTGTATACAATTTAAGCATAACTCTACAATCATAGATATATTTAAGTTTATTTTCCAAGGGGCGTGACTCCTTAAAAAAGGCACATACGTACTACTCTCAAACATGTCTTCGCGAACTTTGCTTACATCTTGGAGTGGGCACGGCCGACCCGACCCCCCTTTAAATAATAAAATAAGTAAATAGATATTTAGTAGACTGCAGGCAAGTTTATAAAAGTAAGGTCAGTTAGCCCATCGTGTTTAATACGCTTGGAATTGACGATGGTTTCCAGGGGAGCAACCACGTAGAGGTCAAACCGACAAGGTATATTGCTAGCAATGGGACTGGTATTCCGCATTACTAACAATCTCCCCCCCCCCCCCCCCCCCGCCTACTGCAAGCAGGTGTGAAACAAACTTCATATGCAATTATCAATTAACATATCGTCATTATATGATTGATGAGATACATACATATCTGTCACAAATCATTACTGATGACTTACGTTAAAAGACGATTTTAATATAAAAGAACTAAAAGAAAATAATGATCCTCCATAATCTTTTCTGTAAAAAGGTAGGTAGGCACTTAGTTATTCAACAGCTATTCTTATGGCCCAATCTCAACCAAGCTCTTCATGCCATACCATAACGCTCTTTACTATTGTCATAATCACATTACATACTTACATTCTAAAATAGCAATTATATATGAACGCACGTACATAAGTATTATTAATTATTACTAAAATAGCATTAACGCAATAAATTACACGAAGTACGTACGTAATGGCTACTAATTATCATTTTCTTGCAAACTACTGCCATCTATGTCAAAATTCATAAATTACAAGTTTGTTAAAGAAAAAGAATCGCATAACGTGAGCCTAAATTCTTTAAATATCTATATAGTATTGTAATAAGATTAAAATTAATAACTATCTTGGAATAATAAATGTTGCATATTTTATTTTTAATCAATTTATTTCAATTTAATCAGTTTTGCATTAATAACAAATTCAAATGTGTATTCATAATACAAGACACTGCTACTAGATGGAGTCACTTGTATGGTAAACAACGAAATAATGTCACACCCCAATATAACTAATTGATAAACGATTACGCGATATTGTGAAATAAAAACATCTTTCCATTTGTGTTGTGAATATTTCTAATTCATCGACTCTAAGAAATTGTATTATTTGTGATTTTTTCCTTGCATTTATTGCAATAAGAAAATGACGTTTATTGTGTTTGAAGTTCTCAAAAACGAGAGTCATGTTACTTGTCTCGCTCTAGAACTCGCGACTGTTCGGTAAGTTAGAGTGAATAACAAGATGCCATTATTGCGTTTCAAGTACAGCAGACTTCGTATCAGCTGACAAGCAAAGCAAAAACAGTCGGTACGCGACCATCTTGTCAAAACTGAACTCGGTGACAACAAATAAATATTGTAAAATGTCCTAAATCGCTTGTAATAACATAAAGTTTACTTTGTATTTCATAAAGTAAAGTGTTTATTTTGCGTTAGTGTTGTTTTCGACACGCTTACTATACATTTTGCTCAATATTTTCGGGTTTGTGTTGCGTCAAATGACGTCATGTATGTGATTATTAAACACGTATCGCGGCTGACGAGTTCGTAAGTATTTTCTTTTATTTTTGTGTTATTTTTTAATAAATAGAGTGTGTTACGAGTGCTTTTCCGTTGTTGGTCAGTGCGAGTTTCATTCATGAATCTTTAAGAAACAAACGCGGGGGCCCCTCGAGTTTCCCATACGTGACGAGCGCTGTGCTATAGAAGTTTTGAATGCCCTTGAAAATTATGCAGCAAAAATCGCGTCGTTGTGGCGATGGTCTACAACCATTGATCTGCAGTTACTGCTTTCTGTTCCATTCATGATGACGGCCTCTGAAGGTCGTTATTGCCTCCACATATTCCGCTTGGCAACGAAACGCCCGTCGCGCGCACTTGACTAAAAATGGAACGCTCTCGACACGTAGAAAGTACATTACAGTATTGTGTATGAACATTGAAAGTGTATAAACATGTAATATTTATGTATATTAGGTAAGTTTGTGTCTGAAAATGGCCGTCCTATCGCATCGCAGTGGCGTATATCTATAGGTAATGGTTGTCGCGTAGCACTTGTGTACTTACCTAGTTTTTTTAGTTCACCTACCTACATACCACACATGTCTGGCCTCCGCTAACTTTCAACACAGGCAAAAATTGCAGTTATCTAATAACATAAGTAATATTAATTGGTATAGATATAGATACGGTACCTCTAAACGTGATTAAGTACAGAAAATTAACATAAATAGTTAATAACTAGGCGCCTAGGTGGGTACCTGAAGTACCTACCAAATATTTCATAATTTTTATACACTCGTTTAGATTAAACGAGTCATTCTGTAATTTTAATTTTGATAGATACGAAACTGGATTACCTAATTAGTTAGAGGAAAATAATGACGTGTGTACGTAACATCTTGACCAGTAATTGTCAAAGTGTGTGTGTGGTAACGCCCACCAGCATTCTTGGGTGCTGAACGCTTTCAGAAGGTAGCAGATTGCTTTGAAAAAATAAGGTAGGCATATTGCAATATAACAAAAAAAATAATATTGATATCGTATTTTCCTAGTTTTACAGTTCTAAGGTTTCCGTAGCGCCGTAATTTGATGAGTTTTTATGAATGAAAATGACTTAATATATTCTGGTGTGCAGTGTGCACAAATTTTTGACGCTGTATATAAGACATGATCTTCCATAACATGGAATTTACAGTCGGGTTATTTGTCACTTTGTCACGACCATTTATTTTTACAACCTTCCGAAAAAAAAAATAAGTGGTTCTCAAAGTCGGCGGTAAGCTAAATCAACAATGTATTTCGGAAAATAGAATAAAATTAATTGACTAAGTAGTATTATCACAGAAATGTTGTTGTTCCCAATTATTTTTACAATTATTAGGTACCTACTTCATGTCACGACACGAATCACATGAATGTTAAAATGAAATTGAAAAAGCTATGCAAATATTTGCAAATGATTGCATAAATTGTAAAATAAGAATTTCAGTTGAAAAATATTTTTAATACATTTCATTTCAATAAATTGCATAATGAATGAATATGAATTTCTAAACGAAACAACATAGTCATACAATCTCGTGTACGTGACAGTTATTTAGCGATCTTCACACGGCATTTCTACACTCGATGTCAATCAAAATGACATTGATGAACACCATGTTCGAATTTTTATTGCAATTTTTGAATTATGAATTAATTTTGTACTAAAAATAGGGTAATTTTAAAAAATATATACTCCTTTTGAATATATTTTGGATTTGCTTTTTTATGTATGATGTACGTTGAATACGCCCAGCCTTCGTACATTTGTAACATCTTTAGTACAATAAAAGCATTGCACAATTATATATATATATATATATATATATATTAATTTAGTCCATTTTTGTGGGTATAATCCGTCTGCCGCGATTGCATCAATATCAGTACCGGAGGTGGGAGGAATTGTTAGTAACGTCTAGAAGCCCATTACTAGCAATAGATCCTATTAGGTCGACCTTCACACTGTTCCCCCTGGAAACCATCGTGATTGTTTTTTGATGAATTCATCTCGATGAATCAAATGACCTATTTTCATTCTTACCAATGATCCCCACTGGTGTTCCGCCAGCATAATACTGAAAACGCAAACGGAATTATAATTACATTACCAGTTATTTAAAAAAGGTGGCAGAGTTGTGATAGCTGTGATAAATGGTTATACACTTCATCACCAAGTATGTTTAACATGTGAAGACACTTATATGTTTATATGGCATCTGAAACTTGTTCTAGTAATTATTCTGTACGTATACTTGATTTCATCAAATATCGACTCCCATTACGTCAATATACTAATGTTACCTTCCCTTATTATGTATAATTCCTTCCACTAAATGACTAGTATAATATTACTACCATTATGCAGGCTCGTTATGCGACGTTAATTAATATGGCTGTAATGGGGGAAAAGAGATTATTAGTAATGGAGACTGAGAATCCCATTGCTAGCAATATACCCAACCAGGTCGACCTCCTCGCGGTTCTCCCAGGAAACTATCATGGTTAATTCCTGTTGAATTCATCATGATGGGCTAACTGGCCTGTTTTCTATCTATGTATTCTATCACGCTTCACTGGTGCTCCGCCAGCGTATCCCGTTAGAGCAGGCGGGGTTACCATACCATTTTCACCCATAAAAAAAAAATGTCTGTAATATATTTAAAATACATTACGAGATCTATTATCATAGAATAAAATAGGAATGTGGTTATACTTTTTTTCTATTCTTTAAATCTGTCATATGTCTAATCTACTAAATTTCATACTTATAAATATTTGGCAATAATAAATTAGTAAATTTTTATTTACCTATAAATGGCAGTGTTATTCAATCTTTATATCGCGAACCCTCGTGGGGGGTCGTAATTTTACTCGGTATAAAGGTCTAGGTCATAAAACAAGTTAAAAACAAGAGTCGTTCATTCTATCATCATCATATCAACCGTTGACTGTCCACTGCTGAACACAGGCCTTCCCCATAAGGTGGTTGCTAGTAATTGCCACGCTTGGCAGGCGGTTTGACAACCGTAGTTAGGTTTTGGTGATATTTTAAGACGGACGCTACTACCCATCCCTCGACCATTAAGTTCCCTTTGTCGTCTCTTACTAAACCCACGAGAAAATAAGGCGTAGCCCATTCTATGTCGGAAACACATGGCAATGGTAATACTACAATAAAATTCAAAAATATCAATGAGAAGACTGTTGTAAGGAATCTAATGATTTCTTTATAATTACTGATGGTATCATGATATACAATCAAACAGATTCATTGTCTTCAATACGTTTAACTTATTTTGATGAAAATCCGATCATTCTAGTGTATATTTATATATGTATGAATTTATACGTATAGTTTAAGAACCACTGTACCACATTTACATAATAGGCACGGCTTTTACAGAAGCCTAAAAAATTGTTTTCATTGGAATCTATTAATATACCATTTATACCTTCGGCCACCAAAAACTGACACTGTCTGTAATAAGTAGTAAATAAACATTTTTTTATAAAAAAAAAATCATCCAACATTGCAGATTCACGACAATGTATCGTAACATGCCTACATATATATATACACACATAAAGCAATAAAAAATACACAGGAATTGGAAATTTATCTTTTTGAATCTTCTTAATCATCTCTTAATAATGCTATGCAATAGTATCCTACTTTTGATCCACTGTTAAGTATATACATATATAACTTCTGATAATTTATTATTTATTGTATTATTTTTCCATCATATACGAGTACATTATTTTTTTTTTATATAAACCCTACTCCTTTTGGGTTCTCAAAGTTGACTGGAAGAAATCCCTTTCAGGGATAAGTACGCCTGTGTACCTACATATTTGTACTTACATATAACCTATTATCTATACTATAAATGAGTGTACAAAAGCATATAAATAAAGATATAAAAATTCTCAAACTCTAGTGATAAAAATATCACAGACTGTAACACTTCCTACAGTAGTTTTAGTTATGCGTCTAAACTGATATACGCCGACACAACAGTATCATTATTTGCGGTTTATATTGTCACATTTATTAACTGACCAGGGTTGCCCCTCATAAGAATGAATAAATGAATGATTATACTTTATATATAATATAGGATATATATACAAAGTACTATAATTACGTTTCAATTATTATTTTTGAATTTGAAGTCAAAATTTTTATCACAATCATTAATAAAGTTTCAAATAGTTACATATGTTAGAGCTAGTTAACATAACAATATTATTGTACGATTCTTATTTGGTATATTATAAATTATTTATTATAAAAACTGAAATGTAACATGATAAAGTAATCGAATTAATTCGACTTGAGGCAACCCTAATCTTACATTACTGTGCTTAAAATTATGTATCGGTACTTCCCGCACTATACAGATAAGGTTGCCATTACCAGTTCTGTCAGTGGCATTATGTTGTTAATATCACTACGAAGCACTATTATAAAAATATGAGTTAAAATATGGGTATTCCCTTCATTATAAAGATATTTCTTTGAAGTGTATTATTATGTGGTGTGGATATGTATGCTAGCTAACAAACAAACACTGATTGTAAATCATTATCTTGTTTACTTCTTTGAATATTTTAAACTAGCTAAAATCCGAGTATCTTCACAAACTTTCACATTTATAATGTTAGTAAGTAATCTTTTATTATTTACAAAAAATGCGGGATAATATTAATGAGTAACTTATTGCTATTTCAATAAATTTTCTAAGTATTCCAAAGATTCTGTCAGATTATTATTCATAATTATGTAGGTAGACATAGTATCAAGATAGTGTGTGAGAATCTTGATTATAATAAATCAGTCGTTGTTCCAAGCTCTTCATTGACGTGCTCCACCAATTAATGTTGACAGATTCTACATGTCATAAAAAATATAAACTTTAATATTACAATTATATTTTTACAGTAACAGTTGCATTATACAGTGTAAGTAACCATTTTAAATAGGTATTTGTCTTCTG